TGGGGATTAAGTGAGTATAGGAGTGCTATAAAATACATTTAAATGTTTTTCAATATTGAATACTAGTTATATTTTTTATAAGGAAATTTCTATGTGTACTCTCACAGTTATCAAAAAAAAACAACAAGAGAAAAAGGATTGTTACATATATACAGGAAACGAAAATAACATTCAAATTCTATTAAAAAAATGTGAAATATATTTAGAGATATAGGTATATCTTACAATCCTTTTTTTCTCTTATTGTTTTCCTTTTTGATAATTGTGAGAGTACACATAGAAATCTCCTAATGAAAAATAACTAGTATTCAATATTGAAACAATGTCTATGTTTTAGATCACTTAAATACTCATTTATTAACCCATGAAAACGTAAATTTTCAACGTGTTTAAACATATGAAAAGTGTCCGATTTTTTGCATTTAAACGCGTTCACTTTGAAAACGCTTTTAAACGCTTGTGTTTCCACTCAGTGTAACCAGTACAAAGTCAAAAATAATTCAACTGTTAAAACGCCAAAATTCGGACATTTGTTGAAAGAAAAACTGCGTTAAAAGATAAGAAAATAACGTTCGTTATAACGCGTTTTTTGCTTAATTTTGACTGCTAGGATATTAGCGATTTTTTTTGTCAAAGGGAAAATATCTTTCTTCTAACAGAGTGCAAAAAACATTTTCATCTCTACTGGTGAAAAAAAATTTCACGATTGGATAAAGAGGGTACTACATCGTCAGCAACCTCTCAGTCGGGTCATCACTAGTGTCTTCCATGAGACATTTTTCCAGACTCCACATTCGTGTCAGTTCAAACAAACTTCAACTTCTGAATATCTTCCTATTCTGACCAATAAACATATTTTTGCGAACTCTGTTGCTATTATAGCTTCTCTTATGTGAACACACCTTTATACTGTGAATCCCTTGTGTCCTATGCATTCTCAGTTAAACAAGAAAGTATGTGATTTTATTGATATAAATAAAGATACACCTACATTTAATGAATGATTTGATTATTGTGAGCATTTTATAGCATTTAACGTTATTGAACAAGATGACGATGAGGATGATCGTATGTCAATAGCATCATCACAAAAAGAACGAAACTAAAGGAAATGATATGTTATCCCTATTTGTTGGCAATTACACAACAACTATCATTATGCCGATTGATTAATGATTTAGAATCGAGATTTACTGATATTTATATTAGTTCAAAAGCAAAACAGGTGTGTAACATTGGAGAATTTATAAAAGAAAACAAATTTTACGTTTTCATTGAAAAATCTTTTAATTCATCTCATTTAGAAGAAAACCCACGAATAAGAAAACATGTAACTAGGTGTTTATCTAGAACTAGTCTAGAAACACGTTCTGAAAACTGTTCATCATTTCACGACAAACTGTGCGTCAACTCTATAAACTTTCAAAATTTAGAGATTAGTTTTACACGATACCTTTATGTAACACACATTGATATCAGTCACGAAAACAAAATTGCAGATTTCGTCTACAGCAAAATTCAATCTTTAGAAAAAAAATTGTTAGTTCTAAAAACTAGTTTTATTAGTAAAACATTAATATGATAGTTTAGAAATTTTCCAGTTGTAAGTGTCTTGTTTGTTCGTCAATAGATTATTGAAGATGTGAAGTCTCTCATGCTCGAGGTAAACGGGAACGACTTTCCTTGTAAGCTAAATCGATTTACTAGACATGTAAAATTATTCTTTGAAAATATTCTTATGAGAATTCAAGTTCATGTGAAAAACGTTGAATTGCAAGTCTGAAAGAAATGCAAAACTAAACAAGCTGAAAAACTTCGAAGCCTAAAATTTGTCACATAAACCTATATGTCACTATACATTGGAGTAGAAAGGTTCTATTTAAACTACTACTTTTAAGAGAATCAGATGAAAAATACTTTTTGACGTCCCCCCATGTACTTATGATGAATTACATTTTCTTATCAATAGAGTAGCAGATGTTGTAGATAGTTGATTCATATCAAGTGTCACTCAGATTTCGATATTAAAAACTTCATAACCAACGTTTTTCTATTCATTGCAAAGGAAAATCATAAATCCGTCAAGATGACGATCACAACATAGATAAATGGACTTTACAGAATTCCTACTAACTAATTTATTGTATATATACATCATTTCGTCCTAATTTAGTGTTAACTAACACCATCTTCAGGATAGAAAGTAATGAAAAAAAATGGAAAGACGAAGTAAGTAGCCTGTAAAAAAACAAGATAATTCCTCTATTATCATCGATATAAATTAACTAAATTAGATCAAACAAACAAAACCTAGTTTTATGATAATATCTTGTTTTTCTCATGGTAAATTTCATTTCGTATTATTATTAATATTTTTTTTTCTCATTGATACACTCATGTAATCCTTGTTAGAATATCAATCACATAAAATATTATTTTACTATCAAATATTTCTTCAATAGAATATCTCTTCTCAATGCAATTTGACCTAAAAATTAATATAAAAATTAGAAATTATTCTGTTTTTTTTAAGTGTTCATAGATTTTTGAACAAAGAAAACAAACAAAAAATGAAATGCATTCGCTACAAATCTACAATGCTTCTCAAATGATCTCAAACAACTTTGTCTATTCAACGATCCATAATCATCAATATGTAATACTTTTTTTTTCAAGTTTACAATATCGATTCTAATCCCATTAATTCTCTGTTCATATTATATCATACTAAGTGAAACAATTAAAAATAAATGATAGTAAGTTTCATACACATTAATATTTTCTAATTAAAAAAAAAAAACATCTCTTCCTATTTATTTTAAATAATAGACCAAAAACGAAATTTTTTTTTTTTTTTTTTTTTTTTTTTTCGATTCCATTCTTAGATCATTTTGTAAATAATAATTACAAATACAACAATCTTCATGGAAACGAATCATATTAATAATCATCCAAAACTTGAAACATTTTCTGATGAAGTCTTTTTCGAAATATTTGATCGCTTATCACCTAGTGATCTATATAAAACATTTTATGGCTTAAATATTCGTTTAAATACAATATTAAATGATTCTCGCATGCGCTTTCGTGATAATCTTTCATCTCTTAGTCCAAAACAGTTTCATTCCTATGTTAAAAATATTCTTCCACAAATTATTGATCGTCTTATTTCATTTACATTTGGAACATATGATACAGATGAGGTTTGATATAAATTTAATAAAATAAAATATCTATTCTTATAGTATCATTTTAAATTTCCTTCTAGTATCAACAAGTCAGCCTTTTCTTACATAAATATTCTATTGATTTAAGTCTATTCAAACATCTTCGTACATTAGTTATTATAAAAATGACAATAGCAGATGTTCAAATTGTTCAATCAGCACTTGTTCATCTTAAGCATCTTGTAAATATACGCTTTTCGGTTGATAGTAATGATGTTGATACAGCATCTTTTGTTCATATTGGTAATGATTTATTAGCTGGACCAAAATTAAAGCGTATTAAAATGGATATGTGTGCTCGAACAACATTTGAAAATGTAACTAAATCATCTAATATTGAACAACTATCAATAGCATGGTGTGAAATGCAAGAATTAACACATTTACTTCAATATGCACCGTATCTATCTACACTTAAAGCAACCATATGCGGATTAAATTATGGTAAGATGCATACAATTCAAAGTGCTCATAGAATCTTTTTTTTTTTCGTGGGCGAAAAAGTCTATCGACTTACGTAGAAGAAAAAGCTTTGCGAATTTTTCGAATCTCAAATTTCATTAAAAAAAAATTTTCATATATTTATGAATGTTTTTTTTTCTTATTCTTTCTGTAGAAGGTTTTCAACGATGGCTTCCTGACTTTTCATGCAGAATTCATTAGGAAAAATAAATTTTAAAGTTTATTTTGTCTTAATCAATTTTGCATCGAGAATCAACTAACAATCTTTAAGTCTTCTAAAGAAAAAATAAAAAATTAACATTCATGCATAAATGAAAATCATTATACTGATATTTTAAATTCTATGTTATGTCAGTATTTCCTTTAATTTCCGCTTTTAAAAAACTCACATATCAGTTTTTTTCTTAGGCAAGTCGATATGCTCTTTACACGCATCTTGACAAACAGAAAAATATGCTTTTTTTCTTCATGTTTAGCTGATACTTGGACACAAACAATACGTGGAAGTTTTAATCAAAAATGTTCTGTACGTCTAAATTCTCTTAAATTAGTTATTGAATCAATACGTTTCGACTATTTATTATTATTACTTCATGAATTAAAACAATTACGTGCATTATGGTTATTACTTAACCATTATGAATATATGGATGCTGAAAAATGGGAAAATTTATTTCAAACATCCTTATTACAATTAGATCAACTTGATTTAACAATTGCATTAACTAAACCATTTTTATCTGTTAATACACCTGGACAATTAATTATGTTATCAACACCACATATAGCATGTACAAAATTTAATACAAAATTTTGGTTTGATCGTGGTTGGCGTGCAAAACTTGATGAATATGACCATTGTGTACGATTAACTGTATCAAATAATGCCGTACCCATATAAAATAAAATAACAGTCATACTTACATAGAAATTAATCGTCTTTTTTCTTTTTGTTGTTCGTCAGATTATTTCTTGTATCATTTAAAATTCCATAATTATTCCTTTTGCTTTTATTTTTCTGTATGTATATCAATATCAATATTGTTGAGTTAAATAAAATAGTTCAAAAAAGAGTTAGAACTTCTGTCGAGATTGACCATTAATGGTTTCATGTCGTTTTTTTAAAAGAACAAATTGTTATTTGTTTAATATGATGTGTCTTATGAGAGTTTTAATTTAATTATCTTCATGTTTTTTTTCTTATTATTGAATTCGTCTCGATAACAAAATTCTAATTACTGCTTGGGGATATTTCATTTAACAAGAACATTGAAACTTGTTTACTTATAATCTTTACTTGACAATTCATTGGATATCTTCTGTTAATTATAAAAATATTCATCCAGGGAGAATAACTCTTCCAGTTATTTGGACTACTTTGTGTCTTTTTTAGGACATTAATTAATATTCTCAAATTCTCCGATGACATGAAGAATGTGTTCTATATGATAAGACACACAGTTTCCGTTGTTCTCTGACGACTAACAACAATATATTTATTTAATATACCAGTAAATTATTTTATGATAAGAGCGACCACTATTGTTAGATTACAAAAAAAATAACTAACTGCGATATATTATCAATCATGAATTAAATACGTTTTTTCTGGAAAAAATTATATATGACAGATGTCAAAAACACAACAATCTATTTAATTATCATGTAAATATTTCAATTTGTCATAAGTCGATGGATGAGTCATTCATAACATACGCACTGTAGTCATTTATCACATTCTATATTATGTGTATATAAAAGAAAAAAAAAGCGAACAATTGAATGAAGGAAAAAAAGAACCATAATTCATACATCACATAACAAATTACAGAATTTTTCTCAAATGTTCTGTTTCTAAAACATTTAATTTTGTACGTAATAAAAAGAATATACCGAGTAAAGCAGGAATAGAAATAGGTACAAATATAATCCATGGAGACCAAGCTCTCATAACAAGCATTATAGTTAAAACTACTTCAATACTAGCAATTGACGCTAATGTTGCATACCAAACAATACGTTTCATTGGAGTTTGTTCAGCACTAGCTTGTGATGGTTTGCTTGATGTAACTGGTTGATAAACAACATCAGTGCCATCAGATGGTTCTAAATCATCAATTGAAAACATTTGTGGATCTTGTCCTGAACTACGTGCACCATTAGCATCAAGTCCAGTAAATATATCAACACCTGGTGTAAGAACAGTATGTGCCGAACGAGATATTAAATGAATATGTGAATCAGCATAAACTATACTTTGAAGATAGATAAACAAGAAAAATGAGAAACCATAATAAGATGTAACTAGATAAAAGTAACGTTCATTAGTTGTGTAAAAACAGGCAAATAAAAGTGTATCACTCATTGCCAAAAATAATATAGAAAATTTTGATAAAGCTTTTGCTGTTCGTAATAATGAATTAAGTAAAATCTAAATAAATAAAATTTAAAAATAAATTAAAAAGAAAAGTAATCTTTATCATACTTGAGGTAACATATGCACTGAAAGTAATAAATAACCAGTCATAATTAAAAAATTCTCATGTTTTCTTAATAATAATATAATACCACCACCAATAATCCATGTAAGTAGACTACTAGCTATTAATACAATTTTTTGTTGTCGATGAAGATTATCGGCATATATAAAAATTTGTATAAATATAGCTACTGCTGAAACCACAGCAACTAATTCAAATATAAATGACCACTTGAATGCATGTGCAACCATTAATGAAGTTAAACCAAGTACACGTATTATTATCCACATATAACTGATACCAGAGATATATCTTGAACCATGATTAAACAAATGAATTATTTGTGGCAGAAACGATACACCCAAGAAAAGATAAGCTAATACACGAATAAATTCAGCTAAACGACATTTTGATGCAGAATTGTTTTGTAAACAGTTTTCATAAAATGTACTTTGATTTGCTGAAATAGTTGATGCTAATGTTGTTGCTGTTGTTGTTGTTAAATTTGTATTATTCAAAATAGTAGTAATCAATGTAGTTAATTGGGTAGTTGTTGTAATATTCGACATGATAAACTATACTATAAAAGAAATAACGTCTTGTTAAAAGCTCAATGCACAATCTTTACTAAATAGAAAAAAGAATGAGAATAATTAGAGAAAAAAACTTGGAGTAAATAGAAAAAAAAACTCTCAGTCAGATATTCTAGGTGTTTCTTTTTATTATTGACAATCTATGCGAACAGTCCTAACAAAATAATATTCTTACTCACATTTATTTTTTTTTTCTGTTCGCTTCTCTATCAACGCATTTTTATGATACAGACATTCACCGACAACACATGCATAGCAGTCGATTCATATCGACAAAAGCTAACATATATTTAAAATGTCTTCTTATCTTTGCAGTGAAAAAAAGAAAAGGGTAATAGCAGTTTCTCATTTAAAATAACAACAGTTGATTGAAACATCAGATTACATGTTCTTACATAATGTTCATTCAAATTCTTTACTAATTGGTCCAACAGTAAAAGAAAGAAAAAAGAAAAAGGGCTAGACATAAAGAGTGAATGCATACACAGAAGAAAACAGAAAGAACATAAAAAAACAAAACCCTATCGTGTCAAAAGGATGTAAGTGAACGAAAAAGAAAAAATTATTATAATCAAAATGCATACAAAGAAAAGTGTTGGGTAGAAAAAAAAAACCTGATGGTAAATATGCGCATGATGCATTTGATGAATAAAATAAGGCTTGATGAAGAGGTGACACGATGGATGGTGATGAGAAAAAGGACGAGATGGGAACAGAAGAAAAAGAATCGAAGAAAAAAAAAGAAAAGAGGACGAGAAAAATAGTAAAAGGACAAATACAGAAGTATTCGAAGAAAGAATGTATATATATATATATATATCTTTTTAAACAAAAATAAATAGACACGATCGAAAGATTGATTCATTGACTACTTTTTTTTGTTATCATTTATCATATTTTTTATTGACATACAAAAAATGATTATAATTGGTTTCACGTCAATAAGTCTACCTATGAGTATAAAATGAAATGATCTTTCGCTCAAAACAGTTTTCTTGTTTACAAATTAAATGTTAACTAACAGCTTTTCTTTTCTTCCTCGTATCCTTATTTTAATATTTAGTTTTTTCTATAACTAAGAAAATTTTCTTCTATTTTTATCAATTTACTATTCAGAATCTACGACATCTATTTATTATGAATAAAAAAAACTACAGAGGTCTGAATTTTTAATAAAAACAAGAGGTATCCTTAGTGACTGAGAAAAGGTGAGCTTCTCTCCCAAAGATTTTGAAAAAATTTTTTTTTTCTCCCATTAACTTGCAGTGTTTTATTGTTTTTTTTTTTGCTGGTTAATTCCTAAAAAATGCACAACACCTTCCGCCTCTAAATCCGATCAACTTTAGCAAAGCTTTTTTGATCAGTTGTCTCAACTTGACGACCTCAGAACACCACTGAGCAAAATGTTGCGTTAATCTATTCGATATAGTACAAAACCAATCTATAGAGAATTCATATTAAATAGATTCGTGAAAAATTTATGCATATAAATAATAAATGACATTGTGACCGACTTTGATCTATGCTGAAATAGATTCATATAGTCAGTGATTTATGGATTATCGACCATGTGTGAGAAAGTTTATTATATCTAAAGTTAATAGTTTTGTATCGAAAAGTTGGTGTTTTCTTTTATAAACACCGTGAGAAATTTATTTCAATGAGCAAACTTCAAAACTCTAGAATATAAATTATAATATGAAAAAGAAAATATCAATAAAAGAAAAAGAAAATTAACTAAGAAATTCATGTTTAAATATGTAATTATAGTCATTCTGGACAATCAATACGATAAGCAGATTAAGTTAGATCATAATCAATTGGAGGTTCTTTTGGTCGTCGTCGCTTTTGACGACGATTATCTTCTACTTGTGATAAATCAGTTGAACTAAAAATATTTTAAATTCATCAAATAATAGTAATGATTCATTAGAAAAATCTTTTCTTTTTCTTACGCAATATAATACGATGATCTACGTTGATTTGCTGTTCTACGTGACGTTTGCATTCGTGCATGATCTCTTGTATCATGAATATTTTCTAATCGAGATGTAGGTCGATTATCAACTGACGATAAATTATATGGCGAATGAATATTTGTTGTTTGTACACGTTCGTCATGACGAGTATTATCTATATCTTGAATGTTTGATAATTTTGATATTCGAGTTTTTTTTGTTGATGATTTACGTGCATAGTAAATACAACCAATAATAAGTATAATTAAGAATAGAAAACCTACAGAACCAAGAACAGAACCAAGAATTATGGCTAAAACTCGACCATTATCCGTTGCAGTAAGATTATTAGAAAGAGGAGTACTCTAAAACATGAAAGAAAGAAAAAAAAATGATTTATTTTTGCTTGTTTTTTTTTCAATAAAGCGATTCTTTAAAAATTACTTCTAATCTTGCAAATTGACAAAGTCCACTTGATGATAATGTTATATTTGATAAACAATCTGTTTCAGTTAAAGCTTCAAACTGTGTTACTGTTAAACTTGATATATTACTACATGAAAATCGATTTGTAATCTTTCCTGATGAATTATATAAACGAAAATATTCTTTGATATATATCGAGGAACATTGACATTCGATTTCTACTGTACTATTATTAGTTTTTATACGTTCAAATATGTCAATAAGGTAATTTAATGATTTACTTTCACATGCATTATAATTTTGTGCTATTTGATCATTAAAAAGAAAACGCATTTGATTTGTTAGAATAACACTTGTTGAAATTGGTCCATTAAGTAAAGACTGTTTTTCATAATTATTAATGGTATGATAGCCATTAATAGGTATGAAAAATGGATTATTTTCTAAATTAATATATGTATCTGCATATGTATAAGCAAATAAATCAAATTGATATAATTGATTTGATGATAAAAGAAGAGTTCGTTTTGATAATTGTCTACTTGAGATTGAATTTTGATTTGAACGTAAAAGACTATATGGTAATTGTGTTAGATTATTTGATGTTAGATCAATCAATAGCCAATTGGATAATGTCAAACCAACAGTGTTAATTTTATTATAGGCAAGATTGATATTTTGAACGGTAGTATTTGATGAACAGGGAAATGTAGTACTATTTAATACATAAAAAGATTGATTCGAAAGATCAACCGAATTTGATGGTAATGAACATAAATAAACCGGTAATTGAGATAATGAATTTTGATTATTAATTGAAATTTTGTTATATTTTTAAAATAAGCATTATTAAGAATCATTGTTGAAATTTCACTAAGTGTACTTGATTCATTAATACAATCAATTGAAGCTCGCTCTCCACCAGTATAAAATGTAAACAGACAATAGCTATTATTCATAGTTTGAGTTAGATAATACGGATATATCTATTTAAAAAAAAGGCATTATTACTAGAAAGATTTGTTTTCTTTGCCAATTTACTCGAGTACTATTATCAGTTGTATTAACTAATACTATATTACCATTGTTTTGATTTATTTTACAAAGACGTGGTATCGTATTTGTAAAAATAGCTGATGACGTAGAACAAGCTGCAGTATTTGAATTATTATAGAATAATGTTTGATCCGTACACTTAGTATTGGATAAAGGATACGTTGGAGACTGACTATTACCTAATGAATATAACAAACTTCTTTGTAAATAATATTGATTACAAGTACAGTTGATTTTTGATGTACCAAAGTTGATATTAAAGAAACTGACTGTTAAAATGGGAACTCTTAAAGGAATAACACTTGCATTTAATATTTGTTGAATTTCATAACAAGCACCATACATTTCATAAATAGTATCTGTTAAGTCAATGATTCCACTATTATTTGTTAAATCAATAGATGGACCAGGTGAATAGTTATATGTTGAGATATTAATATTAGCATTATTTGTTATTTTCGATATCAGATTATTAGATAAATCGATAGATTCGGAAACAAGTACAACTGATCCAAGATCGAACGATTCCAATTGATTATTTCGTAAGAAAAAACGTTGCATATTCATGGTTTTTGATAAAAATAAGGATGGATATTCATTTAAAAAATTGTTACTCATATCTAGCGTTTGTAAAGCTTGTAGACAAGATGGACTTGATGAAAGCAATACTGAGTCAAGATAACTAATACGATTGAATGAAATATTTAACACCTTTGAATACGAATAAAAACAAAAAGAAACAGAAGAAAATATAAAGTGAAAAAAGACATACTTGTAAATTTGTCAAAAAACAAACATTTGGTGGAATAGTTTGCAGAGGTCCACGAGCACCATTATATCCTTGTATACTCAATGATGTAATACGGCTCAAACTCGTTACTGTGTAATTATTAATCGGAAGTAATGATACATTCCCATTCGATGAACATGACAACAAAAGATTTGTATTACTAATGGTAAAAGTCGAAAAACACGTTGAAACATTCACAGCAGGAATTGAAGTCTAAAATCACAGAACATTGAATATGCATCAACCTCCAACCAATTTTCCCCAAAACGACAAAAAAAGACAGTGAAATTGAAAAACAATTTCAAGCAAAATTCTTTAAATAATTCTTCCAGAGAACTTTCTACAAACTAAACCATACCCGGGGGACTTTTAATGAAAACCAAACTCAACCTATCGGTGTCATTTCTCCACCAGCAGAGTACCCAAGTTCCACTTTTTGACATTCTCTTCTATTATACCTTTCCAATCCTGAAAATTACTTATCTTACAATGGATGCGGGTGTTGTTGTTTCCGATCTGGTCGTTGTAGCCAATGTGGCTGTTGCCGATGCAGACGAAGTTGTGGAAGTTGTCGTTGATTCTGATGTGGTGGTTCTTGCTGATGCCACGTTGGTGGACGTAGACGCAGATGTGGATGTTTCTATTTCCGATGTCGTAGTTCTTGATGATGTCGCTACTGTTGAATCAGACGAAGTTGTACTTGTTGACGATGTGCCTGTTATCGTTGTAGACGAAACTGTGGACGTCGTTGTTTTCGATATTGTGGCTGTGGCTGCTGTGGATACAAATGAGGTGGGGGCAGTGTTCGCGGTAGACGAAGATGTGGATGTTGTTGTTTCCAATGTCATGGTTGTTGATGATGTGGCTGTCAATGATGTTGAAGAAAATGTGAATGTTGTTGTTACAGATGCTGTAGTTGTTGATAATGTGACTGTTGTTGATGTAGACGATGTTGTGGATGTTGTTGTTTCGGATGCTGTGGTCGTTGATAATGTGACTGTTGTTGATGTTGAGGAAGGTGTGGAGGTTGTTGTTTCTGATCCTACAGTTGTTGATAATATAACTGTTCTTGATGTGGACGAAGATGTGGATGTTGTTGTTTCCGATGTCGTGGTTGTTGAAGATGTGGCTGTCGATGATGTTGAAGAAGATGTAAATGTTGTTGTTCCTGATGCTACAGTTGTCGATAATGTGGCTGTTGTTGATGTAGACGATGCTGTGGATGTTGTTGTTTCGGATGCTGTGGTCGTTGATAATGTGGTTGTTGTTGATGTTGAGGAAGATGTGGAGGTTGTTGCTGCTGATGCTACAGTTGTTGATAATATAACTGTTGCTGGTGTAGACGAAGATGTGGATGTTGTTGTTTCCGATGTCGTGGTTGTTGATGATGTGGCTGTCGATGATGTTGAAGAAGATGTGAATGTTGTTGTTCCTGATGCTGCAGCTGTTGATAATGTGGCTGTTGTCGATATAGGCGAAGATGTGGAGGTTGTAGTTTCCGATATAGTCGTCGTTGATGATGTGCCTGTTGACGATGTTGACGACGATGTGAATGTTGTTGTTATAGATGCTGTAGTTGGTGATAATGTGGCTGTTGTTGATGTAGATGGTGTTGTGGGTGTTGTTGTTTCGGATGCTGTGGTCGTTGATAATGTGACTGTTGTTGATGTTGAGGAAGGTGTGGAGGTTGTTGTTTCTGATCCTACAGTTGTTGATAATATAACTGTTCTTGATGTGGACGAAGATGTGGATGTTGTTGTTTCCGATGTCGTGGTTGTTGAAGATGTGGCTGTCGATGATGTTGAAGAAGATGTAAATGTTGTTGTTCCTGATGCTACAGTTGTTGATAATGTGGCTGTTGTTGATGTAGACGATGCTGTGGATGTTGTTGTTTCGGATGCTGTGGTCGTTGATAATGTGGCTGTTGTTGATGTTGAGGAAGATGTGGAGGTTGTTGCTGCTGATGCTACAGTTGTTGATAATATAACTGTTCCTGGTGTAGACGAAGATGTGGATGTTGTTGTTTCCGATGTCGTGGTTGTTGAAGATGTGGCTCTCGACGATGTTGAAGAGGGTGTGAATGTTGTTGTTCCTGATGCTGCCGTTGTTGATAATGTGGCTGTTGTTGATAATGTGGCTGTTGTTGATGTTGAGGAAGATGTGGAGGCTGTTGCTTCTGATACTACAGTTGTTGATAATGTGACTGTTCCTGGTGTAGACGAAGATGTGGATGTTGTTGTTTCCGATGTCGTGGTTGTTGATGATGTGGCTGTCGATGATGTTGAAGAAGATGTGAATGTTGTTGTTCCTGATGCTGCCGTTGTTGATAATGTGGCTGCTGATGATGTAGATGGTGTTGTGGATGTTGTTGTTTCCGATGCTGTAGTCGTTGATAATGTGACTGTCGTTGATGTTGAGGAAGGTGTGGAGGTTGTTGTTTCTGATGCTACAGTTGTTGATAATATAACTGTTCCTGATGTAGACGAAGATGTGGATGTTGTTGTTTCCGATGTCGTGGTTATTGAAGATGTGGCTGTCGATGATGTTGAAGAAGATGTGAATGTTGTTGTTATGGATGCTGTAGTTGTTGATAATGTGGCTGTTGTTGATGTTGAGGAAGATGTGGAGGCTGTTGCTTCTGATCCTCCAGTTGTTGATAATATAACTGTTCCTGGTGTAGACGAAGATGTGGATGTTGTTGTTTCCGATGCCGTGGTTATTGAAAATGTGGCTGTCGACGATGTTGAAGAAGATGTGAATGTTGTTGTTCCTGATGCTGCCGTTGTTGATAATGTGGCTGTTGTTGATGTAGATGGTGTTGTGGATGTTGTTGTTTCCGATGCTGTAGTCGTTGATAATGTGACTGTCGTTGATGTTGAGGAAGGTGTGGAGGTTGTTGTTTCTGATCCTACAGTTGTTGATAATATAACTGTTCTTGATGTCGACGAAGATGTGGATGTTGTCGTTTCCGATGTCGTGGTTGTTGATGATGTGGCTGTCGATGATGTTGAAGAAGATGTGAATGTTGTTGTTCCTGATGCTGCAGCTGTTGATAATGTGACTGTTGTCGATATAGGCGAAGATGTGGAGGTTGTAGTTTCCGATATAGTCGTCGTTGATGATGCGCCTGTTGATGATGTTGACGACGATGTGAATGTTGTTGTTATAGATGCTGTAGTTGTTGATAATGTGGCTGTTGTTGATGTAGATGGTGTTGTGGATGTTGTTGTTATAGATGCTGTAGTTGTTGATAATGTGGCTGTTGTTGATGTAGATGGTGTTGTGGATGTTGTTGTTTCGGATGCTGTGGTCGTTGATAATGTGACTGTTGTTGATGTTGAGGAAGGTGTGGAGGTTGTTGTTTCTGATCCTAGAGTTGTTGATAATATAACTGTTCTTGATGTGGATGAAGATGTGGACGTTGTTGTTTCGGGTGTCGTGGTTGTTGATGATGTGGAAGAAGATGTGAATATTGTTGTTCCTGATGGTGCGGTTGTTGACAATGTGGTTGTTGTTGATGTAGATGGTGTTGTGGATGTTGTTGTTTCCGATGTCGTGGTTATTGAAGATGTGGCTGTCGCTGATGTGGAAGAAGATGTGAATGTTGTTATTATAGATGCTGTAGTTGGTGATAATGTAGCTGTTATTGATATAGGCGACGATGTGGAGGTTGTAGTTTCCGATATGGTCGTCGTTGATGATGTGCCTTTTGACGATGTTGACGACGATGTGGATGTTGTTGTTTCTGATGCTACAGTTGTTGCTGTAGAGGAAAATGTGGAGGCTGTTGTTTCCGATGTCGTGGTTGTTGATGATATGGTTGTCGACGATGTTGAGGGAAGTGTGAATGTTGTTGTTTCTAGCGCTGTAGTTTCGGATAATGTGACTGTTGTTGATGTTGATGGAGGTGTGGAGGTTGTTGTTTCGGATACCGCCGTCATTGATGAGGCGGATGTGGACGATGTTGAAGAAGATGTGAATGTTGTCGGTTTTGATGCTGCACTTGTTGATGTAGACGAATGTGGGGAAGTGGTTGTTTCTGGTGTTGTAGTTGCCGATAATGGCGCTGTTGACGATGTTGAAGAAAATGTGAATGTCGTTGTTGCAAATGCTGTAGTTGTTGATAATGTAGCTGTTGTTGATGTGGGCGAAGGTGTGGGTGTTGTTGTTTCCGATATCGTGGTTATTGGTGAGGTGGCTGTGGACGATGTGGAAGGAGATGAGAATGTTGTTGTGACAGTTGTTGTGGTTGTTGATGTAGACGAAGGTGTCGATGTTGTTGTTTCCGATGTGGTTGTTGTTGATGATATTGGTGTGGACGATGTTGAGGAAGATGTGAATGTTGTCGGTTTTGATGCTGCACTTGTTGATGTAGACGAAGGTGGGGAAGTTGTTGTTTCTGGCGTTGTAGTTGCTGATAATGGTGCTGTTGACGTAGTTGAAGAAGATGTGAATGTTGTTGTTACAGATGCTGTAGTTGTTGATAATGTGACTGTTGTTGATGTAGGCGAAGGTGTGGATGTTGTTGTTTCCGATGTCGTGGTTGTTGATGATGTGGCTATCGACGATGTTGAAGAAGATGTGAATGTTGTTGTTTCTGATGCTGCAGTTGTTGATGTAGACGAAGGTGGGGAAGTTGTTGTTTCTGGCGTTGTAGTTGCCGATAATGACGCTGTTGACGATGTTGAAGAAGATGTGAATGTCGTTGTTGCAAATGCAATAGTTGTTGATAATGTAGCTGTTGTGGATGTAGGCGAAGGTGTGGATGTTGTTGTTTCGGATGTCGTGTTTATTTCTGAGGTGGCTGTGGAGGATGTGGAAGAAGATGAGAATGTTATTGTGACAGATGTTGTAGTTGTTGATGTAGACAAACGTGTGGATATTGTTGTGTTTGACGCTGTAGTTATTGATGATGTTGTTGTTGACGCTGTGGATGTCGTTAATGTGGTTGTTGTTACATTCCAGTCAGCAAGTGTACATAAGCGAGGTTGTACTTGTGTGAAATTGACTGTGGAATAGCCAAGTAAACAAATATAGTTAACAAAGTTCACCGGTTCATTAGCGCATACTAAAGTCGAGATGCGGCCGGAAATTGGAATACCGAAAGCAATTTTGAGCATTTCTAAGATATAATATTGATCACAACTGCAATACACTGGTGTTGTACCAAAATCAATGTTTATCAGGCCAAAAGTTAATGATGTTGGACGATTAAGAGTGTTTGTGAAAGCTAGTTGAACTTCTTCACAAGATCCATACATTTCATAGATTGCATCATTAAATTGAAGCATGAAGTTACCGTCAAGTAGCACTTCAGTATTACCAGTTTGAAGATCTAACGATATATTGTAATTAGTAGGATTAATAATTGATGTAATTTGATTTCTTCTTATATCCACTGTTCTTTGAACAAGTGCAAGAACAGATAAATCGAAGGAACTCAATTGATTGTCATTTAAATAAACGGAATCTAATCGACTCGAGGTAAACAATGTACTTGGAAATATTGTCAAATAATTATGGCTTAAATCGACTGTTTTCCAGTTAGTCAGACAATTGAGAATATTAGAAACGTTAATTGTATTTCTAATTTGATTGTAAGTTAAATTTAGGATCTATATAAACGGTAAATTTTTTGAGTGTAAATATAAAGACTGAAAAAAATGTTCTTACAGTTAAATTTGACATCCAACATATGTTTGATGGAATAGAAGTAAATGGTCCGCGAGTATGATTTTCACCTTGAGCAAGAAAGCTAGTGAATTGTCTTAACCATGACATACTAATTGATAAAAAAGGTAATTCATCTAGACTAGTGCCATTTGGACATGTTAATATTAACTGTGGCCAATTTGTAGTATCAGCGGAACATACTGTTGGAAGACCATACTGTAAGAGAATTGATTTTAATGAAAGAAATATCATTATATTTAGTTACATGAAAGAAAATCAGAGAATAATATTTCCTTTTTTTATACAAAACTTTTTGAAGCTCGCATATAGGTTTTCCTTCTTTTTTTACTACTAGTAATGTTATTGTTAAACTTTATGCACGAAAAAGATTTGATTTGTTAGTTGTCAAGCTGCAAAAGATTATTTTTGTTGGCGTTTTTTTTATTAGAAACACACAGAACACATTTCACGCCCCAGTATACAAAAGAACAAAAGGAAAATAATACAGTAATGCGCTCATGTTTGCATTGCAATGAATGAGGCACATTACTTTATTGTCCTTCTGTCCTTTTTTTTATGTCTCTTATATTAATATTAAGTGTCTCTTCCCAGATTAAGCATTGGATTTGATCATGCTTGTCAGACTCTTGGTTCTTGAAATTGTTGGTGAAGAAAAGGACGTTGAATTTTTGATGAATTATTCATAGGATCGAAATTAGAAGGATTATTAGAAGTATATGAATTTGGTGCATGTTGTGGAACAATACTGTTTGCTGACCTGTATGAAAAATTTGTAGAATTATTTCAAGAAACAAAGAAATTCAATACCTAATTGCATCAAGTCGAAGAGGAATACCTCGTGACGATCTACTTAGATCAGATCTATGCAGTTTTGTCATTGAAGGATGTGCTGTAGTCGTCTCAGGTGCAACCGAACCAAAAGATAGTCGAGGCAATTGCGATGTTTCAGTAGTAAGTGGTGTCAATCGAACAGGTCGTAAATTTCTTGTTTGTAAACGAGATTCTAAGAGAGAATCTTGAGGTGCTTGATTTATAGCCATTGTTCGAATGACCGGTTTATTTGTTACTGCAGCATTCCTTGCAACTCTTCCTTTGATAACAACAATCGCAGCGATAAGACCACCAACTAATGCAAAAAATCCAATTAAACCAAGAACAAGGCCCACAATTAAACCAGTACGATTTGTATTTAAATCAACTGCAGCAATTGCTTCCGTAGTTGTCGTAGTTGTCGTTGTGGTTGTAGTAGTAGATGATGTCGAAGTTGATGTTGTGGTTGAGCTTGTAGTCGTAGATGATGTCGAAGTTGACGTTGTGGTTGTGCTTGTGGTCGTGGATGATGTCGAAGTTGATGTTGTGGTTGAGCTTGTAGTCGTAGATGATGTCGAAGTTGACGTTGTGGATGATGTCGAAGTTGACGTTGTGGTTGCACTTGTAGTTGTAGATGATGTCGAAGTTGACGTTGTAGTCGTCGTTGTCGTTGTAGTCCACTGAAATGAGTAAAGAAGAAGATTTAGAAAGACTACTCTTACAGATCACTGAAGTATTATCGTTCAATATATACAATTCTCATCAAGTTCTCTACTTTGCATTGGTCCGATCATTAAAACATTCAAAAGCTGGAAAACCATGCATAGATATGCGTAAAGCAAGAATAAAGTGAATAAATCGACGCGTTGAAAAAGAAATAAAGAAGAGAAGTACTAGTGTCAAAAACCATAAAAATATCTATTCATCTATGACTAAATAATGCCAATCATATCTGTGATGATAAGACGATCAAGGATAAAGTATTAATTTGAATTTAAAAAGTAAAAAAAGATAAAGAGTCATTTATTATGGATGGAACACTTACGTCCGTACTGATCATCATATTGTTATCTATTATTGTTTCTGTTGCATTAGTTATTAATAATGTACTAGAAAGAGAGGGTACGGTTGATAATGTAGTTGTAGTATTCATTGAAATTGCTATTGGATTTATTGAAGATGAAATAGTCATTGAATGACTATCACTTGTCGAAGATATTGATGTAACTTCTGAGTAAGAAGAATTCTTTGATGTTATTGTTTGAATATATAGAGTTGATAATTGTTTTGAATTATTAGTTATGTGTAGTGTATACAAGTCAATACCTGTTCCTTCGAACTTAGGTAAACTTATATATTGTTGATTTTTTGTTACATTTGATAATGATGATGAATTTATTATAAGAATAGTTAGAGAAGTACTAGTTAACTGAACATGAGTGCTTAAAGATCCCATTGTTGTGTTATCCAAAATTGTCTGCAAAACGATTAAAAGAAACAAACAAACACAGTTACAATGGTCATGCCTTTTTCTTCATATAGTATAGTTGGCAACAACCGTGCATCAATGATATATATTCGTGGATAGATGAATATAATATTTTTTTTTCTTATTTATTGTTAGGCAAGGATATTCAAGACACACATCGAAAATTTTTAGTTTTTAATTATTGACAAACATAAATAAAGTAATGAGAACACATTTTAAAGATTAGATGTGCGCAGTAAACGCTCTGACTATAAAAATTTTTCTTTTCATGAAAATGTGAATGACTTTCTTTTTTTTTTTTTCAACTTAATTTTTTCTTAGTTTAGATTATTTTACAATATTGAACATACCTGTAATGATTCATTCAAACATAATCCTGACGAAAAATTTAAAGCAGCTGATCCACAAGAGAAAATTGTTAAAGCATTAAAACTTTCCGCTGAAGTTCCATTAGAACAAGTAAAATCATCAGTAATATTAGATTGATTTCGTAAAAAAATTTCTTTTAAATTTATAGATGCACATGTACAATCCAGCAAAACATTATTGTAGACCAATCGAAGAGTATCTCGATATGCTAAAACAGCATAACGATTACATGTACCAGCAGTTAAAGCCGTTTGATCATTGAAAATATATGTAGTATTGACTACAGATAATGGAAAAGTTATATTGATTGTTGGATTTGTATTATTCACTGATGGTAATGTTACATTTAGTGGATTGATAATAATTGAACTATTGATGGGATTATCTCTAAGATCGATTGTAATATTTTTAAGTGTGTAAAGAAAAAGATCAATTGAAGCAATTGAATTATTTCTTAAATCAAGAAAGCGTAAAGAACTTGGTGTTGGTATTAGAATTGAATAAGGAATTCCTGTAAGTCCATTTGATGAAAGATCAAGTGAAGTTAAATTAGTAAAATTACCACTTCTCATATTGACGGATGTTATTTGATTATTAGATAAGCTAACTGAACGAAACCAATCAAGACATGGAAATGTGTTATCATTAAGTGCTGTAAATGATTGAAAACTCAAATCAATATCATGTGATGGTAATGAACAAATATACGAAGGTAATGATGAGATAGAACGACCGTAATCAGCACGTGTAATATTAGAAAAATAATCGCTTGAGAGTAATTCGGAAGGAATAGTCGACGAATTTGATATGTCTTTTGTACACTTAATTCTTACTGTAGCCGCATCCGAAAAAGTAAAGAAACATGCACCTGGATCCATCATTTTTGTTTCGTAGTGTGGATAAGTTGACTAAAGAAAAAAAAAACATAAGATCTTATTATTATCGAATCGGTAAATTCAAATAAATAATACACAACTATTAAAATGAAAGCTTATCTCTAGAGATATACAAGGTTAACCTACTCTGCAGAATAGGATATGGTAAAATAGTCGTTAGAAAAGTTCTCCTAGCTAAGAGTACAGGATACAGATATAGCTTATCCTGCACATCTCTAACGTGCTACTGTTTTTCTATTTATCACTTTAGAGCATTCCAACTAGAGTGGAATACGGGATAGGTAGATAAAAATTTTGCAGCGTAAAGTAAAGAGAGATGTTCTATAGGGCAGGATTGGGTGAGAATTAAAAACTTCTTCTCAGTCATAGTACAGAGTATAAGAACCGATTGTCCTAAACATCTCTACTTGTTTCTAAAAAAATTGAATAAAACTCATGGTAAATATAATATCGACCTCATATTATTTTTTTCTAGACTATTACATTTCGTACAGATATTATACATATGTATCGTGCTTTTCAAACAAAATTATTTTTTGTCTATGGAATTTAATTTACCATCTTGTGTCATTTCCAATTTAAATAAAAATTATAAAACTGATGACATCTACGGACAAATAGGGAAAGAAAAAGATTTCTAAAATTTCATAAACTCATATCTTACCACAGTTATTGTGGGATCACTAATATTTGGAATATTAGTCAGATCACTAGATTCATATTGATAGATTTTGCATTGTCTTGGATAAACTTTTGAAAAGTCGACAGATGAATTAGGTAGGTTAATATCAAAATTACACGTGTTGTTAACAAATAGTCTACCATCAGTACATTTTGCGCTGTATATTGGTATTCCTGAAATTGCTGCTGGATCAGCAGCAGCAAAAATCGCGTGAATCATTGGCACAATATAGGATTGATCACAACTACAGTTGATTCTAGTTGTCCCAAAATCAAAATACGACATAGCCGAACTCAAGATTGGTTTATTTAATAGTTCATCTGGTGTTGATGAATTGAGCCAATAATAAACTTCACTACATGAACTATACATTTCATATATGGCATCAGTTAAATTTATAGTTGCGCTATTATTAGTGAGATAAATTTTTGCGTCTGACAATGTATATTCAGATATATTATAAAAGACGGTATTCGTTATAGTAGAAATTAGATTGTTGCTAAAATTTGCACTTGTACTCACTAGCAAAGCCCATAATTCAAAAGTTGTCAAAGAATTATACGAAAAATCAATTATTGCTAAATCTGATAAATTGAAAAAAGCATTGCCAGGTACATCAGTAAGTTGATTATATTGAAAATAAAGCTTCTGTAATGTTGGCATATTATAAATCATAGCAGATGGAAAATCAGATATATTATTATCACTAACATCGAATGTAGTCACACCAGATAAACAATCACTCAATACATTCGCTGGATCGACTTGATTAATGTGATTATATGAAAAATCGATACTCTAAAATAAATTTAATTCGATATACAAAGAAAACGAAATTTGTTTAGCTAACCTTTAAATTAGGTAATAAACAAATATTTGGAGGAATCGATGTAAACGGACCTCGGGTAGTGTCGTCAACACCATTTACTGCAATTGATGTTATTTTTGCCAATTCATCAGTAGTATAATTGTATAATGGAAGTTCATTGATTACAACATTGGATAAACATGTAAAAACGATCTCTGATGTATTAAATATTCTACCAGTACATTCATTCTCAGATAGACATATCTAAAGAAAAGATATTTTTTAAATAAAAAAACAAAGAAATTTACAATTCAATACTGACCGTCCACAATATCGCGTTCACTATAATAACTAATAACCATTTAATGATCATGATTATCTAATGTCTTCTAAGATATTTTGCTTATTTTACATAACAAATGATCACTAAATCAAGAGATCTGAAACAATTGATATATATATATATATAAATCTAATCATATTTTTAAATGATAGAACTTTTAAATTGTTTCATGTTGCTCAATCTCTCTCATATCATTTTCTTTCTGTTTAACTATGGTTATGTTTAATTGATTGACAGCAACAGTCTTTATAAAAAAAAAAAAAGAAAAAGAAAGAAAAACTTGCATTCGTTGGAGTGCGCCTATGATGAGATAACCTTCAACTAGCCTGAAAAAGAAGAGCGAAGATAGGAATGAGAGAAAATAAAAAAATCAAAGTAACAATGATGTCGATGACGACGGCTACTGTACTTCAATCACCATCATCTCTTATTTGTTGAAAGTAATATGCATGGACGAGGGAAACGAAGAAAAAAAAAGAATAAAGTCGAAAAGAAATAAATTAATATAAGAAAATTGAAAAAAGTGTACTTGTATGTTGATAATATTATTTTGTTTGAGTCTGATTCTGAATAAAACCTTTCAAATACGCATATCAATATAATGTATATCTTTTTATTCTCATAACAAATATTAAACATCAACGTTATAAACACATTATTCAATGCCACGAAGAATTTTTTTTGTCTTATTCATGTAATGTTATTCTAACATAATTTTTTTTTCTTTTGATGGTCGAGTGTTTGCTTGCATATTTCATTATAAAGAACTGTACACTTAATTCTTGTCTGCTGATCAAGATGTTAATAATTGCTGAGAAAATTGTTTAGATGCCAGCAAAGAACACTTATTGTGTTGTAAAATTAATCTGATGATTTTTTTACTTGTAAACGATGAATATAGATAATTCAAAGATGATGTTCATTGTTTCTTTTAATTTAAGACAGAAATACTTTTTTTTTACGTTTTCATAGAATGAAGTATAACTATTAAAAAAAAAACAATGCAATCTATGTTTATTTGATTTTGTTTTCATTGCTTCTAATTTCATTGTGAAAACTTTATTATTCTGCTTCAATATTAGATACAGAACGAATTTGTGAATCGTTTTCAAATTAGGTTTCTTTTGTACTATAAAAAAAACTATCGAAGTACAAAAAACCGTTGGTTTTTTTTTGATTAACCTTAACATTGTTTCTGTGTTCTGTATTTGCTTTGGTATGCAGATAGGTTTAAACATACTCACTTGAAAACTACTTTACTCATGTGATCTTTCTCTTTCAATTAAAAGAAAGATTATTTTTGTTGATTTAACAATACTTCTTATGGATCTAGACAAAGCAACATCTTGTTTATATACAGTAGACCATAGCAAAAGCCATGGTAGCAAAAAACAACACCTACGTCCTTGCTCACTCATACTCTCATCATCTTTTCTGTCTTCAGAAAAAAAATGTCTCCCGTTGTTCGTTTGACTAACTTACAAAAAAAAAGAAATTGTTTATTTGATTCTGTCACGAGGCAAATTACCTTTACTGCACATCACTTTCCATTATCGATTATTGACTAAAAGAAAAAAAAACAAAAAATAAAGAATGAACACGATTGAAAATTTTATTGATGTATTTACCGACGCTGCTCTTTTCCAGTTGAAAAATCTTTGAAAAGTATAAAATAATTTTTATTTAAAAAAAACTATATTCTGTTCTATATTTATTAAAGAAAAATACTAAAAATTCATAAAGTAATAATGATCAAATGGAATACATTAAAATGAATATGAAATTTCTTTATGATTTTTTATTTTGTTCAAAGTAGCAATGATAAATTATATCATTTTGGAACACAAGAAGAATAAATAAAGAAAAATCATAATAAAATGAAAATGATTTGCTTACTATTTTAAAATAAGAAAAATGATTATTTCCAGACCGTACGATTAGGAAGGGAAAACCGCGCGATTTCTCCTCCTACAGTTTCTCTTGCTTCTGATCATTTCTCCTTCATATTTTTTGTTGGTCGATATATAGTGAGTTTTTCGGTGTTTCTTATATATCAAATATATGAAAACTGTCTCTATTGTCTTTAGAGAGAATCATCGATTTTCTTTGAAATAGAAAGTTTTTTTGTTCGAGTGTTTTTAAAACAAATCAACCTTGTTTAACAAAGAACATGTTTCAGTTCCATGGCCAAGAAAAATTAAGTACTTTCGGTGAAAAAGAGAAAGTTTTTCATTTATAAATGCTTTTTTCCTGAGTTTAGGAGACTTAATTCTTGACTTTCTCACTGTCTTGAATAAAACCAAATGAAAACTATAATTACTTCACGCATGGTTTATTTTTGAAAATTTTTATTATTCACAACCAACATATAATATTATTTTGAAACAATGGTTATTTTTGAATTGTAGATGAAAATTGCCTAACAAATGACTGTACATAGTTTTCTGATTAATGATGATAAAAGATCGAGTAAATTGTTAACTTGATCGTACTCATTATCATATCAGAGAGGTATTTCTATCAGCGAATTATATAATCTGAATAGCAAAGTTACTTAATCATCATAGATCTTTTAATTAAAAATTAAGTACGGATAGAGATGCAAGCAAATTCATTGATCGACGATGACTGAACTTTTTCAATGAGTTTTTAAAAATTTTTTCTAATTTCGAAAAGTTTTGAAATGAAATAGAGAGAAAACGATGATAGAGAACTTATTGACGAGAAATCAGACATTGGTATCTTCAAGAATTGATTTGGGACACAGAAAATTGTTAAAAATCCCATATTTATTTTTATCTTGCGATTTGCACCAGCGGATCAACTTAGACTTCTAAATATGGATATTGACATTTTATACCTCTAATATGTCATTGAAAACCAACAATATCAGTATATTTGAAACAGGTATAAAGGAGAAATTTTCATAGATAATATACGTTTAGTTCATAGAATTGACTAGAATTAGTTTTGATTAACTGATACAATTAATTTTGTACTAATAAATATTAACATGACTTCTCGACAAATAGAAATAATCGCACATACACGATTACATTGACTTTCTTGGTGGTCAACACTGAAAGCTGAATAATATCAGCATATCTGAAACTTTTCATGGTGAATGAATACATAAAACTTATTATCTTGACTGTGGGTGTTGTATTAAAATTAGTATTAGCATTAATTACTACTACTTCCAATATTTGGGCATTATTATAAAAATTAACTCTAATGTATTGGTATGCTTTGACATTACAATTACTTAATGATAAGATTTTAGCATTAAATTAGCATCATTTTTAAATCCAATATATCTCTGTTACATGAGACTAGAACTCTGAGAATTCAAGTTCAAAAGTTCTTTAATAAAAAAACTCTTTTGTTCTGCTATGAGAAAACGACTTACATGAGAGAAGTCCTTCAACTGTTTAATCACTTTTGAGTCTAGACTATGTACATTATGTTGATGCAAATCAGTTATGAATACCCTGAAAAGAGTTCGTGTCCCATCCTCCTCCTCCCCCGTAGCTTATTGCTGCGTAGACAATGCACCTTTACGGTATATTTTTAATAAACGCTGTGGTCCCCTCTGGAACGTTCATAAAAACTAATGTTCGAATTTCAATTTGAAACTTAGGATAGAGACAGGCCGTAATGAAAATATTATTTTTATGAATGTTTCAAATCTCGTCGTTGTTCCTATTCTAAGATATAACCATAGTAATGGCTTGTCTTTTACATCAGTCGTTTAAATCAGCAGATTTTATGTTTCTATATTAGGATGGAAGTAAATCAAAAGGTCTGAAACTTTCACAATAACTCACTCTTGTTAAGGCTTGTCGCTATACAAAGTTTCAAGTCAAAATTCGGAAACCAGTTTGTTTTGGTATTCCTGAGGAGAACCACGACATTAATTTCAAAAGAATACCAGAAAAACGTAGCATCTCTGTAGTAATAAGCTATGGGCATGAACTCTTTTCCGTGTATTCAAAACTCATTTGAGTCTAAGCATAACGCATATAGTGTAGACTCAAAAGCGATTAGACAGTTGGAAGATCACTCTCATCAATAGTAGAATAAAAGTGTTCTATTACCGAGAACTTTTCAGTTTGAATTCTCCGAGGTCTAGTCTCAATTAACAGATATATTCCAATTGAAAATAATGCTAATTTGTTGCTAACACGTTATCATTAATTAATTCTAATGTAAAATAATACCAACGTATTCGAGTAACTTTTAATACTTATATTGATACGATACCCATTCGCTTAACGTTGTTCTTTTCAATCATAAGAGTACGAATCTGATGCCTGATTTTAATATTTAATCAAATAATTTTGTGAATTATATAATAATATTCAATAGTTTCCAATTATAGCTTTCTGTCATTCGATACTCTATTTAGTTGTGTTTAATTTATTTTAATTCATAAAAATTTAACCAATGTTCGTCTGTGAATATTTTCAAAAAAAATCACTGATGAATATACAATGCTTGTTGAAAGTATGGTATACTGAACTAATCAAGATTGTTTTCAATAATAGAATTCACTCATATTACGAATTTATAAGATTGATAGAAAGTTTTTTAGTATAAATGATAAATATCATGAGGATAGGTTTTACAATGAACTATCTTGACAACATGTATACGAAAATTTTGAAATTCAGGAATATTAGATAAAAGTATTTGTAATACAAACTGCATAAATTTTCAAATAAAGGTTATATGTTCTCACACATTCTTTACAAATATCGAAGATTTATTCAAGATAATGAAATCGATCGACACATCTGTAACATTTCCTTTGTGAAAACAATTAACTTTCATAACTGTTGTCATTATTCTATATTTCCCAAATAAAGGATACAATTATTTTAAAATATCTAATCGATCATCCATGACGGTATAAATGAAATAACAGCTGCAATGTTTAGCTACAATAGTGCACTAATTCACAAGTTTTCATCACAATGATTGATGCTTGTCCTTCATATGTCAAAACTTTTATTTAAG